CCATTCTCCATAAAAATCACTTTACACAAAGTGGTTATTAACTCCTAGCCAGGCATAGTGGTGCACACCTTTGATGCCAGCACTTCAGAGGCAGAAGCAGGAGTTCGAGGCCAGTGAGTTCCACGACTGCCAGAGCTGCACAGTGAGACACTGTCTCAAAAACAAACAAACAAACAAACAAACAAAGAGTTAACTCTGTCCCCCTGTATTTCCTTTGCATTTTTCTTTTAAAACCAGCCAATGTCCAGAGACTATCAGGTTGAGCGCTAGGCAATGGGGAAATGACAGAGTCCCCACCAGTGTTCGGATAAAAACCAAGTACACTTCCTGTCTGTATGCTTGCTTCTCTTCCTCTTGACCAAGAGTAAAAGTTTGCCTTGCTCAGACTCTTACTGGAGCGGTGGTCTCTTTCTTTGCAAACTTTTTTCTAATAGCATGCATGCACCTATGTAACTAAAAAAATTTAAGAGGGGAAGGGCAAACTACCAAAAGAAAACTGTGTGATTCACATGACAGGTAGGGAGGACTCAGGGACAAAGCCCAGCCAGCAGATCAGAGTGCAGCACATTGGAAATGGGCCAATTTATGGAATCTGCTATGTTATTCTAAAAGCATCTGGACCTTGTACCAGCTTAAGTAAATCAAACAGGAGCGCTTAATGGAGCCTTTTTTCCCTAAAACAAATACAGACTATGTAATTGACACACGCCACAGGGAACCTGAGAGGCTGTTGATGGAGATGTTAGGAAAGCTGATGTTCTTTCTGTTCCAATCTTTGCTACTACATATATGTGGGTGCAATTGGCCTGGGCTCTAGAGAAAAAAACCCTGGAATGAGACAGAAGAGATCTGGAATCTAGTCTGAGCAAGTGGCTTCACTTCTTGATCCTCACTTTTTCTTTCTTTTGTCAGTTTGTCAGTATTATTTCTCTACATGTCTACTCTATTACCACTCTGTCTTTCAGAAAATAGTATGGTTCTAAAAGATTAAGCTAATACTGGCAGGAACTGGAGGAATTCTGGGTCTCTTTCCATTCTGCTGCATTATCTGTTATACAAAAGGGCTGGATCAGAGAAACCAAGGCATTTCCAGAGCTAAACGAACAAACAACCACCCTCCCCGCAAAATAAATAAATAAAATAAATAAAAAATTTGAAAATTAAAAAAAAAAAAACAACCACAAAACTATTCTTGGTGCCTGAATGAAACTGGTTTCAATAAGATTCTAAATATTCTAGGGCTAGACAAAGCCATTTAAAAAACAAAAAAAAACATATAGAGGCATTTTACCTACACATAATGTCTATGCACCACTTGTGTGCCTATTACAGGTGGAGGACAAAGAGGGTCTGAGGCCTCTGAAAAGCAACCAGTGTCATCTCTCCAGCCCCTAAAACTCAACTCTTGAAGAGCCTTCTCACGGGGCTAGGAAGATGATACCGTGGTCAACAGAGCTTGCTGTTCGTGCAGATGACCAGAGTTTGGTTCCCAGCACCCACATCAGGCACCTCACAACCACCTCTAGCTCTAGCTCCAACGCCAGTTCTGGCATACACACCAATACACACCACATACACACCAATACAAAGAAGAGGAAAGCCTTCTCTGAAATGAAATCTTCTCAACCAAGAGCAAAAGCCAGAATACAAATACAGCTTGAGAATACAAATACAGCTTGAGAACAAGACAGTGGCTCTCTAAAGCTTTCTGCCTTGTGCCTCCTTTTACAGCTGAGGAAGTGAAACTTAAGAATGAACTGCTTTCCCAAGGTTGGGCAGACTAAAGCTCAGAACCCGAAGTGCCACGTTCCCTTTTTTTAAATCTAATTATTTAACACATGGTCTGAGGATTAAATAAGTGAAATACAGTCACTGACGGGTGAGCACCACTCTACCAGGCCTCTTCCCTTGTCCTTCTTTCTCTCTCTGTCTCTCTTCCCTGCCTTTTCTCTCTTTCAAGGAAGAAGTTTTTGATTTAAGGTTGCATCTTGTGAAGGAAAATGAGGCAGAGCAGAAGTTTGCATCATGGCAGACAGAAGCAGAGAAGGGAATATGGGACCCTGGAATATACAATCCAAAGACATACCTCCAGTGACCTGCTTCCTCCAATTAGCCAGGGCAGGTATTTTTCCATCATCCATTAGCATCATAATAACCACAATAAGATCTAATTTTGCGCAGGGCGGTGGTGGCACACGCCTTTAATCCCAGCACTGGGGAGGCAGAGGCAGGCAGATCTCTGTGAGTTCGAGGCCAGCCTGGTCTACAAAGCAAGTTCTAGGAAAGGCGCAAAGCTACATAGAGAAACCCTGTCTTGAAAAAACCCAAAAAAGAAAAGAAAAAAGATCTAACTTTGCAGATGAGGAAAACTATAGGTCAGTGAAGTTAGTCACACAGGACATAAATGTCACAGCAAAGACTCAAATCTCAGTATAAATCTGACTCCTTTAAGGTTATATGGTTTCTGGTTTTGAAGAATATATTCAACAATGAAAAAGAAACACTAACTGACCCAAGTTATTTCCTCAAGAGTCTTTTGTCTCTTGCCCTATGCACTACTGTAGCTCTTGATAAGTTCAGCTAACTGCAGAAATGAAAGAAAATGGTAATCAAGGTAAAAGAATGGAAACTCAGATAAGACAGAAATGCTGGGGAAAACCCCCAGAGACTTTTGTATGCTATTCCTTCCCCTCCGAGCTCATCCTCTGGAGTAGCTAGGACAATAGTCCTTTACCTCTCTGCTTTGTGTTAATGGAGTCATTTGTAATAGGTTTTCCCAATTCCTCTACCTAACCCCTATTAGGTAAATTCCCTACAGCATCTCTTACTGATCTCAAAAATCTTTCTATCACAGTACTGAACTTTGAACCTAAGACAGAAGTGGCCTTGTACCTTCATGTGTTCGTTCATTCATTCATTTTCTTCTTTTTGAGAAAGGGTCTCAGGAAGTATCCAGGCTGACCCTGCATCTCTATAACCAGAGCAGTCCCTGAACTTGTGACCCTCTGGCTTCAGCCTCCCAAATAGCTGGGATTATAGGCCTGTGCCACCAGGCCTAGCTTTATCTCATAATCCTAGCACCACAGCTGCTAACAGACCTTGGTTTCCTGAATTGTAGTTTCCAATTTCCTGACTTAGATTCTGATCTCATAGCAGTATTCTTAGGCTCAGGACTCCCTAGAAGTGTCCTTTAGCTGATCTGATCTATAGGACCTATTAGTTCCTCTCTTGCTTAGCTATCTTCTTCTCTGCCCACTGTTTCAGTAATAAAGTAAGAAAGAACATTTTTAGTTTTAATAAAATAAGAAAAGGAGGGGTACATATACACTTAGTAATAATAATAAATACAATTTTAAATCAATGGCCCAAGCCTTAAGAACCAGAAAAAAAACAAAGTATATAAAGCAAACAGATTAGGAAATAACAGATTAAATTAAGAAAAATCAATGAAACAACAAACTAATAAAACCAAAAATTCAGTCTTTAAAAAGATTATAAAATGTATAAACCAACACAGACAAAAAAATTAGGAAAATACAAATTACTAAAACTAGGAAGAGAGATGCTCTGGTTTTTATGTAAAAGAAATATAAGGAAACACTAAGGTAAATTCTACCAAACTTCTAAAGAAATAATACTAATTCTTTACAAATTTTCAGACTACAGAAAAGAAGAACACGATTCTACATTACCACTGACGGGGTTGCACACACCTATGGCAGGGGTTGGGGATTTAGCTTGGTAGCAGAGTGCTTGAGAAGCAAGTGCAATACCCTAGGTTCAGATCTCAGCACAAAAGAAAAAAAATGCAGCATGGAAGCAGGAAGTTACAATTTTATAAATGGGGATAAAGACTGGTCAAGGACACATGCTGAGACAAGATTAAAAACTCAGGTATATGGAAGCAGTGGTGATGGCGCACGCCTTTAATCCCAGTACTTGGGAGGCAGAGGCAGGAGGATCTCTGTGAGTTCCAGGGCAGCCAGGACTACACAGAGAAACTCTATCTCCCAGCATCAACCTAGCTGTCTAGGTCCGTAACTCCTGTCAGCCCAACTTCTGAGATCCCTTCAGTTCTAGGTATTTTCTTCTTCCAGTCAGTTAGATAAACCACTGCTGCTTAAGGTCTTCCTGTCTTACATTCTTTGATCCCCTCACTGATCACAAGGGACCCTAAATCCTCCCTGTCCTATTGGGCTCAAGTAACTTGAATTTCTGAGGAGGGCTGTCTTATGTTTTCGAGAAAAAAAAAAAAAACAAAAAACAAAAAAAAAACAGACAGAGAGACAGAAACAGCAGAATTCCAGGGAAACTAGCAAGCAGTTCACAGAAGTCTGTCACATCATAACGGTATTCAGTGAGCTGACTCTAAGATCGGCTTTATAGGTCCCTAGTATTTGCAGTTCCTGGGCCTCCATTTCTTCATCTATAAAATGGAGTAGTCTAGATCAAGGGAGAGCTAGCATAATAAATTCCCAATGTGGCGATTTCCCTTCCTATCTGAGTTGCCCATCGCCCACTTCACACAGCTCCACTGAATCACATCATCCTTACCATTCATGATCACATTCTGTAAGGACAGAGAAGAATTAAATTTCCTTATGCTAACCTGGGGCTTGGTAGGTCAAAGAGGCTTAAGTCAAGAAGATCCCCAATGGCTGTTTGAACACATCCAAAGAGTTCATGAGAAGATAGGCAAAGGTTCCAGGTCCTGAGATTTACCTTCCCCCACAGCACTGGCAAAAGCAAGAAGGAAGGAAGCCTTTTTTCCTGACAAGTGATCTTAAACATTCATTCTTATGACAACTCCAAGAAAGTGACCTCAATCCTCCTTCCAGGCCAGCAGGCCACCTAAGCTCACATCCAATCTCTAGAATAATCCAACACATAAAAAACAGTAACCCTAAGATATCAGTACCAAGGCTAAAAGGAATCCCTAAACTAGTTATCCTATATCTTAGCCCAAGATTGCCCAGATCTGCCTGAACACCCTCACTCACCTGTACCAAGAATGAGTTTGGCCAGCTATTTCGTCCTTAGGGTTACAGGGTCAACAGCAGCTATCTCTAGAATCAGGACTCACCTGTAACAGAGAAAAGAGGTTTGTCAAGGGTCTTAACCCTTACACATTTTGAATCCTGGTTCCTATCATTTCAGACCACGCTGGGTGCTATGAAGGAAATTTAAACACAGTCATGAAATAAAGAACAAGGAGTAAGAGTAGAAACTACTTCAGATAAAATGGCCAGAAAAAGACTTTCAAAGGATGCCATGAGAGCAGAGTGAGGGAAAAACCAAGGACTTTTCTTTTTAAAAGAATAACAGTGGGCTGGAGAGATGGCTCAGAGGTTAAGAGCACTGGCTGCTCTTCCATAGGTCCTGAGTTCAATTCCCAGCACCCACATGGTGGCTCACAACCATCTACAATGAGATCTGGTGCCCTCTTCTGGCCTGCAGACAGAACACTCACTATATACATAATAAATTTAAAAAAAAAAAAAAAGAATAGCAGTAATGAGCCATTATATTAATCTTACTGATTTTTTTGAGACAGGATTTCATGTAGCTTAGAATGGGTTTCAATTCACGATGTAATCAAAGGTGGCCCTCAACTCCGGGTCCTCCTACCTCCACTTCCCAACCCTGCAGGTTGGGCATAGAAATGTACCATACCCAACCCTGGTTCCGGTGCTGTCAGCCTATTGTTTTTGGTTTTCTGGTGGGTTTTTTTCCAAGATGGGTTTCTCTGTGTAACAGTGCTGGCTGTCCTGGAACTTACTCTGTAGACCAGACTGGTCTTGAACTCACAGAGATCCGCCTGCCTCTGCCTCCCAAGTGCTGGGATTAAAGAAATTGTCACCACTGCCCAGCCAGCTGTCAGCCTATTGTCACATAAAAAATTCAAAAGGTCCATTACTTTTCTATAACTTACTTTCCTCTGACAAAACCTGACAAAAGGCCACATAAGAGCTGGCTCAGCAGTGAACAGCACTGGCTGCCTTGCAGATCCCAGTGTTGAGTTGCTGGCGCCCACGACGCAGCTCACAACCACCTGGAACTCCAGTTCCACGTGACCCATTGCCCTCTTCTGGCCTCTGCAGGCACCAGGCACATACGTGGTACACATACATACATACATACATACATACATACATACATACATACATACAAAGACACACATAAAGTGAAAATAAATCTGTTTTTAAAAAGCCACTTATGGGAGGAAGAATCTACTTAGGCTTTAAGATGGAATACAGGGGACTGAAGAGATGGCTCAGAGGTTAAGAGCACTTGTTCTTGCAGGGACAAGGTTCAATTCCTAACACCCACATGGTGACACACAAACATCTATAACTCTAGTCCAAAACCCTCTTCTGACTTAAGCAGGAACCTGGCACCATATGGTACACAGACATACATGTAAGCAAAACATTCTCACACATAAAATGAGTCAATTTTTTTTTTAAAAGAAAGAAAGGTAGATAGCGAAGGGATACAGGACTGGCAAAATGGTTTAGTGGATAAAAACACTTTACTGAGCCCGACCACCTGAGTTTCATCCACAGGATCCAAAAGGCAGAAGGGAACTGATGTACCAAGAGGGCTGTCCTCTGACCTGTACACACACTTGTACATATACAATTAAATTAATAAGTCAATATTAGAAACACGTAAGGAGGGGAGATGTAGTCCACCATGGAGAGGGAGGAGGGCACAATAGCACATCACGTCAGGAAGCCGAGGACAGACAGGAAATGAGGCTAGGCTATACAACTTCAAGCTCTTCCACAGTAACCTGCTTCCTCTAGGGAGGCTCCAGCTCCAAAAGTGTCTATATCCTTCCAAAAGAGTACCCCCAGCTAAGGACAAAGTGTTCAAATACATGAACTTACAAGGGACATTTCACTTTATCCTTCCAAAAGAGTACCACCAGCCAAGGACAAAGTGTTCAAATACATGAACTTACAAGGAACATTTCACTTTCAAACCACAACACAAGCTTTTTACCATACTGGAGCACATTTTCCCCCATTTACTTATTCATGTGTGGGTGGAGGCTGCACATGAGCATGCTATGGTACATGTGTGAAAGGTCAGAAGACAACTTGCAGGAGTCAGTTCTCTCCTCTCACGATGTGGGCGCCAAGCATTAAACTCAGGTTGTCACACTTGGCATCAAGTTCCTCTATCCACTGAGTCATCTTACTGCCCCGCTCCCCCACCAATTAAAGATTGATTTTATTTGGGGGCTGGAGAGGTGGCTCAGTGGTTAGGAGTACTTACTTGCTCTTCTCTCAGAGGACCCATTTGTTTCCTAACACCTACACAAGACATCTCATAAACACTTGCCAACTGCAGCTCCAAGGCCCTCTTCTGGCCTCTGTGGACACCTGCACACATAGGGCATTTGCTCACAAAAACAGACACACATAAATAAGAAAAATAAATCTTAACACACACAGAAATAAAGATCATAAAGGATTAAGATTTATTTTTCTTCTTTTTATTTATGTGTTCTGTGTGGGTTTGTGTAAATGAATGTCACATGTGTGCAGGTACTTATGGAAGCCAGAAAACATCAAATCCCCTGAAGCAACAGTTATAGGTAGATATGAGCCTCTGGATGTGGGTGCTAGAAGCCTTACTGTGTCACTATGAAAGAGTAACAAGTGTTCCCAGTCACTTACTTAATCACCAAGCCATTTCTCCAGCCCCTGGAGACTCTAAGGTTGAGATTATTAACAAGTAGGCTGTCCTGAAACATGTGATCAAAGTACCTTATACAATGATATGGAGACCTTTCTGAGAATCAGCATTTACCATGTCCTGTTTCTGAGAACCACATTACTATGGCCCAATTAATTGCAAGTTAAGACTGAAGGGAATTACTCCTCCCTCAGGCCATGCTATTTATATTAGAGCATTCTATCTAAAAATAGGGAATAGATTCTACAAAAGTATAAGGAAACCAGGAATATATACCTAGAGGCTAAGTCACAAAGTAATATAAAATCATGAGAACACTGGAGCCTGGACAGCAAAGGTGGGATAATCAAGCAAAAGGCCCAAAGAGGGAGAAAGGGAATACTCCAAGGGGTAGAAGACTATAAACTTGACAGACCAACCATTTTCTACATTTGTAAACAAAATTTTAAACAAGTCTTTACAGATCCCTTGGTTATTTACAATAAATGATTTCCAAAGTCTAAAGGAGGGCTACTTCAAAGGAGGTACTGAAGCTATCTTCCTGAGGGAAGAGGAAGAAGTAGGGAAAAAAAAGACTGAGTTCGCTTGGTCTCTGGAGTAGCAACCAGAGCAGGAGAGAACAGTCACAGAAGGTCACTGCAACCTACCAGCTCCAAGCTCCCTCCAGCATGTTCGCCAGCAGAGGGCCTCCTCCAATCCACTTCTGCTATACAATCAGTACTTCTGGGCTCACAATCTACCAACACACAGGGAATGAAAGAATAACACAGAGCTAACAGTCAGTGTTTGTAGCCAAGTTTGCATATGGATTTGCTAGTTCTATTCCAGCTGCCCTTAACCTTCCCCTTTCAAAGCTGTCCTCAACCTTTCTATGAGTCCTGCTTTTCTTAGCCTTGACTAAACACTAGTCTTGCAGTTCTTACAAGACTCCTCCCATTCACAAAAACACCTAACCTTGACTAAAATAGTAAGTCCAAATGTTGTGTCCAGGTCACCAAGTGGTCCAGCAAAATCCCACCCTACTCTCTAACAAAGGCGGGTGTCAGAATGCCTGGCATAGTTAGTAAGTAACTTAATGTCAGACAGTAAGAACATAATATATGCCACAAAAGTTCAATTGAAATTCAATCCAGGCAGTCTCCAGCCTGCCTGGAGGAATGTCCTAAGAATACAACAGATGTGCAAATTCTTGCCTTTGCATATTCTGGGAACTAAGTAAGAACATTTCTCCTTCCTCAGCTGAAGCTGTCTCCAGTTTCCCCTCCTCCTTCCCTAAGAAGCAACCCTGCAGAAATTATCAAGGGAGGCACAAGTAATTACTGTTTTCTTTTCTCCATGCTAATGAGACAGTTGGATGGTTCCCCTTCCCCCCTAGAGCTAGAAGGAGAAGCTTGGGCTTTATAATCAGAAACCAACAATGCCAGACAGTGCTCTGTGCAGCAGAGACTGTATAGAAGATAGCTTTTCTATCTGATGAGAGCAGCACTGAAGGACTGTACTACCTGACAGGAGAGGTCAGACCAGAGCTAGGAGATCTGTCTGAAATCAGAGGAAAGTCAATGGCAAGGAACCTCCTTATTCCCAACCAGTGTGCTTTCTACACTATCCAGACCTTGTAATGTAGAATAAGGTGGGGTTCCCTCAAGGTGGAGGCTGAGAATGTAGGTTTCAAGTTCATGTCAGTTTTAAACAATGTTATGTCGAAAGGGACTCAACCCAAGAAAACAATCAGGATCTGAGACAATGATAATCTTACACCCCTCCACCAAATTACACCACAGGGGAATAGGATAGTTTCCACAAAAATTATAAAGAGAATGTGTGGATTTTAGTTGGGATTCAGGTCATTTATATGAAGGGAAGATTATCCTAAAGGAAGAAAGAACCTCAGTTATAGTAAGACCCTCAAGTGTCTATCTAGGATCTCAGGTTGCTTGTTCCCAGAAGAAACTATCAGAAGCTTCACAGATCAGAGTCAAAGGTAAAACAGAAAACTGAAAGACACCCTAGCTCAGAGCCAGCCACGGTCAGTGAAAAAAATCACGGTCTCTAGGAAAAAGCACCAGGTTTACAAATACTAAGCTGAGAAGAAAATGGTTAAAAGTGTTTAAGTGGAATAATTTATATAATTTAACAAAGCTTGACTCTTTTGTTTGTTTTTGCTGGGAGGGGGTGCTTTGCTTAACTTTAGACTCGCTCCGTGCTCTCCCTAGCTACCATAACTCTATCATTTCAGGTTGGGACTGAGAAATTTAAATTCGGTTGTCCAAAGAATCATGACTTCCCCCTCCCCATAAGGCCTGGTACCAACCTCTCCGCCCTGCTATCTTATACTAGGCCATCTGTAGGGCAAGGCCTCATGGAGCTCTTGCAGCC